TTCTTCTTCTTCTTCTTCTTCTTCTTCTTCTTCTTCTTCTTCTTCTTCTTCTTCTCCTCCTCCTCCTCCTCCTCGTTCTTCTTCTTCTTCTTCTTCTTCTTCTTCTTCTTCTTCTTCTTCTTCTTCTTCTTCTTCTCTTCTTCTTCTTCTTCTTCTTCTTCTTCTTCTTCTTCTTCTTCTTCTTCTTCTTCTTCTTCTTCTTCTTCTTCTTCTTCTTCTTCTTCTTCTTCTTCTTCTTCTTCTTTGTTTCTTTCGCTGCCTTTTCTTCCTGACTCATAAAAACAAGTACCAGATAATTTACAGCATTATTTTTGAATTATCTGAAACAAAAGGTGGAGTATACAAGGGCTGACACTTCCTACAATATAAGACAAAGACTGAACCAGGCTCGCGTTGCCGTTAGGCACTTCTTTAGAGGTTGAACGCGATGTATGGGATTCGTCCTGTTGGTTTGCCATCTAGGATGATATTCTTGAAGTGTCATAGGTGGTCGAATCTACATGTATCTATAATAACCCAGGCCATCCTTAGCGGACAGCAGGTTACTTCACGACCGTCTGGCCCTCCAGTATAACTGTGTTGAATGGTTAAACCCAAACGATTTCTTGATGCCTCGGAGATGTGGTTATGCAGAAGAATCCTCACAATTCCTTGGCCAGGGAAAAAAAAGCAACCCGGATGACTGACTGACTTTCTACCCCACCAGGACATCACACAAGCGATAAACACCCGATGACACAAAGTGCCACCATGTGGATGAGGATCACCGTGGAGAGGTAACAGAAACTGCGTTCAGCCACTAGGCTAAATTTATGAACTGGCTATATTGCGCCCCCTGGCAAAAGCCAGAGTAGGGCTTCAAATAACGAAACATTTTATCCTGGATGTTTTAAAAGAGGCTCGAAGGTTACTTATCTCACGTCAGAAAGTGACAGTCATAATTTTTAGTCATGTTATGAGAGAAAGAAAAAAAAAAAAAGAAAAGAAACGGAAGCATGTTGTAACCATTGGAAAGATCTGTGGAAACGGAAACAGGGGGAGACAACGCGAGAAGATTCCTCTCCGACCAAGTGCTAATGTAGTGGGGAAAAGCTTTATCTGCTCTATGTCCATTGCAGCCATAATCTTTAGTGCATCGCGTCCCTTTTAGCATCTTATCACAATCGTCTCCACATCGTTCATGAAAGACAGGCCCCTGTAAAATTTTATTCCCAAATACTTCAATGTGCTCTCTCTGTTGACATTTCTACCATCTATCGTTAGGCTTGAAACATGAGCTCTAACATCCCTGTTGCCCAGAGAACACCACAAAACAGACGCCTTGTCTGGATGGACGACAGCATCCATTTCTGTACACCTGTCAATCACTTTTTTTTTTGGGTCGCCTGTAGTTCCTCGGCTGTTAATTTCCTATCTCTCCCATGCCTAAAGCCGATATCATCTGCAAATGCCAGTCCCCCCCCCCCCCACCCCGGCCCCTCAATAAGGCTTCTAAGCTTACAATCTTGCTCGTTACACGTTAAAAAGCATAGGTGAGATTGCAGATCCCTGTGGCAATCCCTGGGTATACTGAGTGGTTCTGAGTTCCATGAACCCAGACCGAGGGCAACCCGACGAGAATAAACGACAGCCACTATCCAGTCCTCCCCCTTCTTCGTCAATGCGGTCATCACAATATAATATCTAACTCTATTATACGCATCTCGAGATCACGCGCTGTCACCATCGTTTCCTATTTGTTCTGGAACCCTTCACAAACATCGGGGGCAAAAGTGGCTGCATTTGACCAGGTATCTCTTCCTGGCCTCTTGGGAAAGGCTTCTCTCTTTCCAAAAGTTCTGACACCTTGACAGCGTCTATCTTCGCCAAGACTTCCCAAAATGTATTTTGTAAGGTGATGATTCTCAAGCCACTAAGCTTTGTATGATCCTTGCATGGTTTTCAAAGTGGGATTAAATAGCTGTGCACCCAGTCCTGCGGTAGGAATGCTGTCCTAACGCTTTGGTTGAAAAGCAATCGGTCATATCCCTAATATCTTCATCGCTCAATGACTTCATGCTGCAGTACCTAACTCCCTCAGGTCCTGGTGCAGTATCTTTTGCCTTTTTAAAAAATATGTTTAATATTGTGTTGTGGTTGTTGCTCATGTTGAACATTCAGTTACACAGAAATAACTGAATTTTTTTTATAACTGACATTTCAACTTTCAGGTAAAGATCCAAGAAAGGGGACACCATTTTACCTTGATCTCGTGACCTGGTGTGACAGACAGCACAAAGTAATCTACCCACCAGCAGACGTGATTGAACATGGGTCGATCTTACTGTGTTGACAATTCTCTTCTCACTGTTGTAGTTATAAAAGCTGCTATTTGTGGTTTCTGTAATATTTTGCCTTAATTTTTTTTTTAAAGTAATTGTTGTGAAGCTGTAGGTTTCTGTTTTTCAAACATTTTTTTCTCCACGAATTTGTTCGTTCGTTGTTGGAAAGTCTTTTAAAAGTTTGCAAGGTGAGTGATGTGTAGTTGTAGTTTGTTAAGTTTGGTAAGTTAGTTACTCACTGAGTACAGACACTGACAAATTGATATTTAACCAGTTTTTTTCTTTATGAGTCTGACTAAAATTTTCAAGCAGTGAAAATTAATTGTTAACTTGTTTGCAGTTTGCCTAGTTTTACCATTAACCCATTTATATATTTGCCCTCAGTCGACTCGCCGTATCGGCGATTCGAGAGTAATTAAATTAATTAATCGGTAGTTCTTTAACTTTCACAGACCATAGATTAGATAGAGCTACTGAAATTGGAGAAGCAACGGCAGTTATAAAAGAATACGTATGTGTGTAACTGAATGTCCAACACGAGCAAATACACAAATAAAGAAACAATATTCAATATTAGGTGTATGAGTGTATGACAACAACCATTTGTGTCTTAAGTGTCTACATACAGCTGAAACTGGGTACTGACAGAACCACTCAGACACTGCTGTTTTATCTCTCTACTCGGCCCCACGTGGTATGTAATTTTTAGTTATTTTAGTTATTTCGAAGCCCCAGCCTGGCTTTTGCCCAGGGCCCTAAATATAGCGGGCCATAAATATGGCCTAACGACTAACGGGGTTTCCGGGACCTCTCCACTGGTGATCCTCATCCGCATGGTGGCACTTTGTGTCACCGGGTGTTTATCACTCTTTGTGATGTCCTGATGGGGTACAGCTCACATACATACTGCTGTTTAAAAATTACTGTCATAATTTATCACCTGTATCCCGATGTAAACATGTAAGGAAGTGTATAACTTAAAATGGAAAGTACATTATGTATTAGTAGTAGCGTGCTAGCATACAAGTAGGTTATTGTAACTATTTCTGCTTACTTACACACTGTCTTTACTGTGTATGCAGAGCCGCTGTGGTGTAGAGACTAGACGCTCACCTGCGGATTCAAAGATTGTGGGTTCAGATCCGAAAGGACCTTGGCTCCAGGGTTGACCCAGCCTTAAATGGGTATCAGGTAAAGACTTGGGAAGTAGAGGTGACCAACAAGATCATCATGATGAGACCACATCACCTACCGAGTGCCAACACTTCTATAAAATATCCGTCAAGCACTATATGCCCAATATGCCTAATGGCGTAGAAAAAGGTTTTTTTTTTTTTAACTTGCTTTACTGTCTGTATTTTACTGGCTCATAAGAAAGTCACTCTTTCAGTACCAGACTTTCATTACTTGAACTCCTTCTGTCCTCAATTCTAGTTTGCCATAGCCAGTGTTTTAATGCAGACAAGTTAAAATGCACACTGCAGGACAGAAGTAGGTAAACCAATTGTTTAGATTAATGAGTACCAGCTGACTGCAACAATGAATTGAGTTGATTTGATTCAAGAAGCACTCTCTCTTGACATTCCTGTAAGCGCTCTGTCCCTATCTTCAGCAGCCAGTAGAGAGTTCCGATACTAATGGTGCCAGTAGCATTCTGATTAAACGTCCGTCTTGCTTTTCCTCTGAGCCTCAAACATCTGCCAGAACCTCTTGTCACTCTCCCCCACCCCCCCTGCATCGATCTCACTAGACTGTGGTGGTGACCCATCTTCTCCGAACTGTACACGTTCTCCTACAAGGTACTAACCACGTCCGCCTTATCATGTATCAGTATTCCACCAAGTTGTGCACAGCCAGTCTGTCCGCCTGTTGTTTTCTTAACACACCGGCATTCCAGGAGAAAAAGTCCAGACAATACTCCTCACCTGTGTCCTCCTCAGTGAAGCATGCTATTCTGCACGAAGCATGCCTGTCCTGACCTTCCTCAGCATGCTTTCTGAGTCAGTTCTGCAACAATGAAAAAACCAGAATGTTCGCTGACTTGGGACTAACTAATGAATGTACGTTGAGTTGCATGGTACTGAAATAATTAAGAGAAATGTGCAGTGTCACTTAAAACCAGAGTATGTATGGTTTGTTTCTTTGTACTGATTGAGTTAAAAATAAGCATTCTTTCTTGGTCCACCTCTTGCTTTGTAGCATGTTCTCATGTATTACGCTCTATCTACTAGATGATTTTGTTCCAAATTGACCACTTGACCAAACCATTTGATTCTTTGATGTTCTATGAAATCCTTTACTGGTAATGTGCCTACTATTGTTCTTAGTTCCTTATTGGTGCTCTGTGCTATTATATTTTTAATGACTGGAAGTATACAATAAACATAGGGTGGTGAAATAAGTTTTTATGTTTGTTTTTTAAATATAAAACATATTTTAGAAACACATTTTTGCCATTTTTGCCCCATCCCCAGTTATGACCCCCATGGCGGCTGCACCCTGCTTCCTATGCCGCTAACCGGAACCCACAGAAGGTCACTAAAACAGCTTAATTCTATTCTTTCTATTGAAACATTAACACAGGGAAGATGCTGATGAGCATAGATGTTTGCCTGGAAAGTACTAAATGTTGCCCAAAGGATAGTGTCACTGCCGTGGTTACTACAAGCTGTGTGCTGAATGTCTGCTGAAGTGTCTGGGATAGCCCCATCTATCATGTCTGTGAACACAGTAAGTATTCAGACTTTTGGCATGTGTTTACTTCTACGTGTAGATTAGTGGTTTTTAATTTTTTAGGTGGCGCCCAATAAGTAAAAGGTAAAGTCAGGAGATATGAACCAGCGTAATTGCACACAGTAATAAACCATATAGTAATCCAGATGTGTAATCTGAAATTTTGGAGCAAACTGGAGGCAAAAATGGAGATGGCCTAAAAGTGCCAAAAATTGAGATTTTCCAGGTGTGCGTCTGTCGAGTTTTTCCAGCCAAAAACTGACATTTTGCAAAAGTTAAAATGTTTGTCTCAGACTATCATTTCACACTTCAACAGATACTTTAGACTAGTAGCTGGGCATTTTGGAGCAAATTGGTGACATAAAAGGAGATAGGCAAATGAGGAAATACAGATTTTACTAAGAAATTTCCCCAACAACCTTTGGTGTCCTACCACTTCACCTTGAGTCCCAGACAATTGTTTTACACATGAATGGACACTGTAGATATAGAGTTTTGGAGCAAACTAGATGCCATCCCTGAAAACTGAAATCCCATGCTCTGACTGTGGGAGATTTTCTCAGCATGAGATGTTTCCTACTGGTCATACTGGCTATCACTGTTGACTATGATTCCCATGCCATCTTGTAGCACAGTAAAACATTCTCATCTGCAGAGATGGAAAGGTGCCAGCAGCACTACACAAATGAAACACTTTCCATCCAGAGTTATATGTGCTTTGTCAGTGAGGCTGCCCCTTGGATCCCAGCCATTATGTATTGCATACTTTTACTTTCAATATTTTGTAAATTCATCTGAAGAAATCAGGCCTCCCACTCATGAGCTGTTGTAGTGGCTATTTCCTTATTAGGCATCTTGACTGCAGTTGTCACAACTTGGTGTGGTTCTCTTATCCTTCTGGATAAACTCAGCCCCTCATCATCTTTGGTACCACACTGTCATATGGGTCATGACCCTCTGTTGACCAATGAAATGCTTGATCATCCTAGTTCTAAAATTCTCCTTCCTTTATTCCATTTTCCCCTCAGTAGCTCCCGCCTGAAGGGTCGACTACCCTGAGATTACAAAATCTCAATCTGAATGGTAAGCCAGCATTAAAAAAAGTGATAATTAGGCTGTCCATAATGCCTACTACACCAGGGCTTGTATGAGCAAGGATGTTGTTATAACAATTCCCAAGGGCTCTTCCCGAGAAAGGGTCCTCAGCCAGTCAAGATTTAAAATTACCACGTGCAAACTATAATGTGCTACTGTTAATGTTTGTTTTAGTATCCAGAAGCCATGAGCTGTTAACCCTTAGGCTCGGTATTATGGATATCGCAACCTTTCGGCCTTGATTCCATTGTAAATACCGTTAATCTGGGAGAAAATGTGGCTTTCCTGCCTACCCCCGGGATTTAACCCGGACCACAAGGAGTATGTCACCCGGTCTCCGCGAAATCCGGTTTAGCCAATTCCGCTAGAGAGCCGGGCTGGTACTGTTAATAACCACATACTGTCATTTATATGCACAGCACTTGAATTGACTTCAATTTTTCCCCTTAAGAGAGCAGTTGGCATTTTGTATTGTAGTTTACAGCTAGGCTGCGGTGTATTGCCTTTCAACACATGAAATCCAATTTCAGCAAAGTCTTCATTAATCACGTCCAAGACATGCTTTCTAGAGATCATTGGATCTGTTTGTTTTTTCTCTCACTCCCCCACCCCAAATAAACAAAAAGAATGGGGCTCTGGTACCCACACAGAGAGTGCATGTGAATATATACTAGGTCATAGCTTTTTGCGTAAGGATGTGCATTTCTCTTCCTCATCACATTCCCTTTTCCACTTTAAAGGATGGACATGTTCTTGTTTTATGTCTGTTCATTATACCATGCATCTTAACAGATTGTCTACCTTATCCATCTGGGAGAGAAAGAGAAAAGAAAGAAAGAAGAAGAAGAGTGAGGGATAGAGAAGATGTGGAAGAAAAGAAAGAGTGAGAGAGAGAGAGGAGGAGAAGAAGATAGAAGGAGAAGAGAGAAAGTTTGATAATCATTTGTAACAGGGTTGCCGAAGTCTGCATGCTCAAGCATCTTGAGCCCACCCCCACCACACCTTTCCCATTTTATTTTAACGGGCCAAGTCCCCTAACCATGTATATAATTTTTTGTTCAAGTTGTTTTGTTTATACATTGTGCATTCCTTGTTATTCTAAATTTACTATTTTGTTTTAATTACCAACTTTCCGCCAGAGTGTACAGCTGGTGAACACGAAGAAGAAGAAGAAAGAATTACCATTCTGCACATAATAATAATTATTATTAAGCACTTTAAAAAGATGTAAGCCACTTGGGAAACCACACTTTGTGTATGTGAGTGAGTGAGAGAGAGAGACAATGAGTAAATAGGTGTGTGTGTATGTGTGAGAGAGTTGGTGAGTTAGTGAGTGGGCGTGGCAGTGTGTGTTCACACATGCATTTACCATCCATGTTTTTTTGTTTTCCCCCCTTGATATTCATATTATGCATATTGTTATGTGAACATAACATACTTTAATGATAAAATACAATTGCTGTGTGAAAGATGAATGTTTGAAAGGGCTGAATATGTGACCATTTTAAAATAAAGTTAGTTCTTTCGTTCGTACATCTGTCCCTAGAACATTTATAAGAAGACTGAATCCCCAGCTCACAACGCACAGCATTTTCTTTATGGTATACATGTTAGCCTCTATTCTCTTTCTTATCTGTGTGTACATATGGTATAGCTATCTGTCATTGCTTTGATATACAACAAACTTTTTGTATCAAATAGTATACACCATGTAGCTTTTTGCTTGTGGTAGAATTCATGAATCATCAATTCTCTGTATGCCTGGTGGCACATGAGGCTTCAGGGAGGGCTTTAAATGCTTTCCAGTCCTGTGCAATCTTCAGTGCAGTTTTCCATGTCAGAGATGCCACACTCAGATCACTTTCCATCGTTTGTCTCTATGTTGTTTTTGGGCTCCCCTTTTTTGTCTTTCCCTCTGGTATCCATGTGAAAGCTGTTTTGGCAGGTATATCAGTATTCATTCTCATAATGTGACCAAGCCATTTTCATTTTCTCTTGGTTATCACACTGTCTAGAGTTTCTTGTGTGGTAGAATTGGCAGTACCTAATGGAAATAAGACATAAAATACAGAAGTTCTAGTAGACCAGCGGTTCTCAACCTGTGGGTCATGACCACTTTGGGGGTCTAATGACCCTTTCACATTCTGAGAAGTTGATATTGATACCAGTTTTGAAGTCAACATAAAACGGTTTGCTGCCTGATCACCTTCAACTGAATCAGTATGTCAGCATTATGGTACTTCATTCATAACCACTGAGCCAAGGAAGCCAACTGGAAATGAGACGAGAGTTTACATAATAAGCCGAGCAATATATTGTACAATTACTGCAAGCATACTTACTGCACTTACCTCATCAGAAGTTCTGCTACACAATTTACATCAACATTTAATTAATCTTCTTATTTTCTGCCCAACCCGCCATTCCCCCCCTCCCCCCTATACATTTTCAGCTTCCTGTCATAACCTGTGCTTAGTAAATAACATTTTTGACAACGGACGCCCTCACTCTCTCTCTCTCTCTCTCTCTCTCTCTCTCTCTCTCTCTCTCTCTCTCTCTCTCTCTCTCTCTCTCTCTCTCGGTCTCTTTCTTTATATATATTTATATATATATATATATATATATGTGTATGCTAACCAGTATAGAACTGAAACTATTAACCACGTGATGCTGATGAATATCTTGAAGAGGGAATCTAACCACTGATGTATGTGTCCGGAGTAGTGTTATGAAGATTATTCAGCTCATAACTCACTCGCACACACGCACATTAAAGTTAGTTGCGTATCCTTTACAGGACGTTGCAGAGCCAACCCCAGCATTTATTAGCTGTTGTGGTTTTTCCAGGCAAGTTTTAAGTTCAGTAGTTTGCCATTGCTACTGAAATGTCAGCTCTCGGTACCACAGTCGAAACCAGCGCAAGACAAATCGTCTGCAGCAGGGATCGAACCCGGCAACATGGCACTACAAAGCGCGTTTGCAGCGCCTAAGCCACAGACGGCGACACACACACACACATACACATATATATATATAAATATATACATACATACATATATATATATGTATATATATATATATATATATATATATATATATATATATATATATATATATATATATATATATATATATATATATATACATGTATATATATGTGTATATATATATGTATATATATATGTATACATATATGTATATATATATATATATGTATATATATATATATATATATATATATATATATATATATATATATATATATATATATATATATAAAATGTTGGATGGTCCCGTGACGTCATTTTGGGGAAAGATATTAATAGAGAACCGATTTTGCTTTTAATTTCAATATTCCTCTGTAGAAACGATTCGGATGATTCGGGCGGCTTCTATGGACGATGCAGTGAGTGCATCACAGATAAAAGATAAGACAGATGCTTCAAAACTGGTCAAGAATCTGTTAAATATGTTCTGCTTGCTGCAGGCCTTTCTGTCATGAGAGTACATTCAACAGATTCTCGACCATCTTCGAAGTGTCGACACAGATCGTCTACTGCACAGCGAGAGTTGCGGGGGAAAGGGTGACAGATTAAAGAGAGGAAGGTATTAATGGTTCATAAACTTGGGAGTTCATTCTTTATGCGACGGTGCGCTGGCAGTCCGTCGCCCTTAGAAGAGATCAAACCATATAGGATAACACCTTTTTCAATATTGAAGAACCAAAATGTTCGTTTTGGGAAGGTCACAAGTGACTATCGTCTGTGAACTGTTTCTTGCCGATCCCCAAGGTCATATTCCATGAGGGGTGAGAGGATCTATATACAGAAGTAAGGTTAAGTAGTCTTGTAGAGGGTGTAACGATTCTAGTTTATTTGATTATTCTCTTCTTCTGTTGATAA